GAAGCAAAAAATTTCATGCACTATAATAGTGTGCGTTGAAATATCACGTGAAGTTAAAAGATTAGCGCTTAGAAGTTGCAAAATCTATTAACACTAAGTGAAAAGATTAGCGCTTAGAAGCTGCAAAATCTATTAATACTAAGTGAAAAGATTAACACTTAAAAGCTACAAAATCTATTAACACTAAGTGAAGATTAGCGCTTAGTGGCTGCAAAATCTATTAGCATTGCCAACTTGTCTTAGTCTAGACACTTACTGTTTCCACACTTGAGTGTGAGACATGAGGAGGGGCTTCTTTGTATGATTCCTTAGCTAGGCTAACGTTTTTTAATAACGTTTACCACTAAGCGCAAACGTTGCAGCATAGTAATGAAAAGGTCAAGGCTGACAAGGTTGTTATGACTCTAAGAATTTGACGCATCACTTGTAAGAGCATTGTGTTGAATTAGACTCTTTAGCCTAATTCGCCCTTAAGTTACTTCAGGAGCTGTCATAGTTGATAGCTTATTCTCTCCTTCTTGTGGATAGTAGAATTAATTGCAAGTAACTATGAAGCGAGAAATAAATATGGCAAGAGGAGTATCGTCATCTTTCAATTAGATGCAATAAAGTGTATGGAGAATAAAATTGACTTGAAGGTGCAGAGGATTAGCACTTACTAGTTAAATTTGCGACTTAGGCACACTTGATATCTCCATGACATCCTTTTATGATCTAGTGAATATGAATTAGTCGTGAGTCATTACCTAATTGGGCCTAAACCTTTAAAACTTGTCTTCGAGAACTCACACATTAAGATGATTGGAATTAGTTTATGACATTGGTCATGAACCAGTGGCTTATTATACTTAATCACATTAATGAGATGATGACACGATGGTTTGAGTAGGCCTTCTCGGGCCTATTCGCTTCTGACATCCTGCTCTCATGTGAATGTGTAACTTTGTTCGCAATTGGTGTGCACAAGTAAGTAGGAAAGCCGTAAAAGGTCATTTGTTTTGGAGCATTTAGTCCACTATGATATTTGTGAATAGATATGTGTAAGGGTATGATAGCTAAGCCTCAATCTCGACACATTTACAGATTACGATACGCATCTGAGTCAAGACTATTTGATCTCCCATAAGTCAAAAGTTTTGAGATGATTTCTGACATTGCACATATGAGGTCGAGATCAATTAGATAAGAGTTTTTTGTGCTTTTAGTTTTGACCAAGGTGGCGAGTATCTATTTGAGTTATTTTTTCAGAAAAACTCTGTGAAGAGAGATGGATGCTTAGAACATTGATTATTCCTAGTACTCAACAACACAATGGTGTAGTAGAGATAAGGAATTAAATATTGTTAATGTTAGATAGATAATGGCGCAAAATGTTTCCCAATTGAAAATTGCACTAGTTTGCTGCCTATATCCCTAACTAAGTGCCCTCCATATCAGATTTTACACTCCAATTTTGAGTAATAGGTTAGTGGAGAGCCATCTATGGGCGATCTGTAACCATTAAGCAGCTTATCTTTATTCTACTTCTCATAAGATTGCGAAGTTAAGACCTAGGGTTCTATAGCGCATTATTGTATGCTGTCTTGTAAACACAAAGGGTCGTGTGGCGCATTATTGTATGCAAAATGAAGAAAATTGATCATAATTGAAAAAAGAAATAACATAACTACAAATATATACAAAACACTTTTTTTTAAAAAGGTATATATTAGAACTTTTCGCTGATTAATCATTGTTCATACATATTAATAGTAGAGCTGGCATAGGGTTATTCGGCCCACAAAAACTACCCAATCCAAATCGCCAATACTTATTTGGGTGGTTTCGCAAAATTGTTAGAGTCGGATGCAGATTAAGATTTTTTTGTTTTGCGGGTAGCGGGTAGGTCACGAGTTTTACTCGCACCCGCACTTACCCGCCCGCATCTGTATACAAAATTTTTAAATTTTTTTACAAATTTGGACTATCAGATTTTCTTGTAAGTTTTGTAAGTGTGTAACCCTAATCTTCTCTTCTTTGACTCACTTTAATCTGATTGTCAAACATGTAGGCTTTAACATTATAATATTATAATAATATCACACATTACCTTGTTTGAAATATTTATTCTTATCTATGTAAGTTTGAATTTGAATTCAAACTTATTTGGATAACCATTCAGGATATCTATATCTATCATATCAATAGATATGGATAGATGGATAGATAGATATTGGTTATATATCATATTATATGGTTAATCTAAAGATATACGTATATCAGATATACGTTATGTGGTTTTTACCCATAACCTTTTTTCCCAGACTCTCTCTCTGACTCTCTCCCAGAAAACAACGATCAAGCCATTTTGCACTGTGACTTGTGTGGGTGATACTCATTTTGTAGTATCACTCCACTACTAAATAGTGGTTCTTAGATTTCGTCAAGCCATGATAGGGCAACGATGATCGATGAAGACCACTGAGGCATGATCAATGGTCCAAAAAAAAGAAGTTTTTCCTTAGTCATTATGAGCCAGGAATTTATAAGGTTGTCGCCACCTAGGGTGGGCAGTCCTCTATTTTAGATATGGTGGACATGGGTGATGTAATTTATATGCTCGGATGTACGATCCTTAGGGATTGTTTTAGGAAAATTCTCGGTTTGTCTTCGATGACTTACATAAGGAATATCCTAGAATGATTCTAGATGCAAAATTGCAAACCCATTGACTTACCTGTTGGTAAAAGCCAGAGCCTTATCTATTGAGTGAATCCTCGAATTGTCTTTGGGAGAAACAGATAACCTATATTCCTTGATCTTTTCTTTGTTGTGAGAGCCTAAAGCACGCTATGTAGGTGTATTCGGCATGATAAGTGTTATCTTTGGTAAATGGTCAACTGTGTTGTTTAGACATTGACCTTGCTCATTAGACTGTGGATAGAATGCTTTACTAATAGTATATTAATTTGCTCCTTGTAAGATTTAATGCGCTAGTTTGGCGCATCAAAAATGAACGCAAATTGGTGACCAAAATATCTTTATAGAGGTTATTGCGCAAGAGGTAGTGATCTTAAATCACTTTATGTGAAGCGCACATGGTGGATTCTGTTGTATATACTTATCGCAAGAGGTGCTGATAAGGCTTATGTTTGAAATCTAGAATTGTGATCTCGAATCACTTCATGTGAGGCGCACATGGTGGATTCTGTTGAATATACTTATCGCAAGAGGTGCTGATAAGGCTTATGTTTGGAATCTAGAATTGTGCAAGCTGTGGTCAAATTTTTTTAAAATCGATCACTTATTTTGAGATGATGGGATGTTGACACTATTATGGTTTGTGTCATAATGATTAGCAGATGATGATGTCAGCAGGCAAGATTGGCTCACTCACACGAGTAATCGCCCTTGGCGCTTGGGAGCGAGCAAGGATGAGACTAGTAGTTTATTTTTATTTGAAGCCAAGAGAGGCTTAAATAATCCACTATGCATGTCACCTTGGTTACAATCAAGATGAGGTCGTGTTAAGGACCAAACATGGATGTTAGTACCCACTTTCCATGTTGTACCTGTTATGATTAGCTAGATGCGAGATCTCATTTGGCACCTGAAAGGCGAGCAAATAGAGAATTCGGGTTAGGCGCTGGAAAGCGACTAGACTAATATCTATACGGTGTATCGAGGATGACATCACTCTTTTGAAAGAGTTACTCCACCGTAACATGTATTCATACTATATGTGCTTGGCAACTGAGTAATGAGGTGAGAGAATGGATCCATATTTCCTCACCGTGTGAGTCTTACGTGTCATTATTGATATGACTTTCATTTATGTACCCTTTTGTGACTTTTGACTATGTCATAAGGTAAGGGGTTGATGTTCTGCTACTTTGGTATATTGCCTGCGGTCATGCATGATTCAGCCTTAAGGGACATCACTGGAAAAACGGTCAATCCTAAACTAAATGGCATAAGGGCAAAGGGAAGATCATCTAGTATTACACCACTGTTGTATATTCGCTGCCGGTAACTCACATCGCTCTGTATGAGAGGCAGATTGAGTGTGAATATATTGCAAGAATTGGGAGAGTCAAACATGCTCTTTTTGAGGGATTAGAGATGTTTTTTGGACCGGTGTAATTAGATGGGTCTGGGGTATATGAGACACTATTTCTGTTCTTTTTGGGTTGATGTCTCTATACTGGCTCATTTTGAGTTTCTAGTATACAGCTCCCACATGCAGGTGTTCTCAGCAGTCGCACGGTGCAGTGGCTAGTATGAGATTGTTCATTTTTTGGGAGATTGAGATAGAGATGTGGCAGTGTCATGCCAACTCATGTGCGAGTGGGAGATGTTAGAAATTGTGCACCCATGTGGCTTGATCATTCTTCTTTGAACCTTTTGAATATTATCCAAATAAGTTTGAATTTGAATTCAAAACCTATTTGGATAACCACTCAGGATATCTATATCTATCATATCAACTGATATGGATAAATGATATAGATATCTTATATATCTGATATAATATGGGATATGGGTGATTAAGAAAAAAACAATGTATGTCGTATGTTTTGCCGATATACTGACTCTCTCCAAAAAATACAACGATCAAGAGCCATTTTGCACTGTGACTTGTGTGGGTGATATTCATTCTGTAATATCACTCCATTGCTGGGTTGATTGATTGATCAGATTCAGGAAGCACGTGATTTACCCACAAGATCCTTCAATTCAGACTCTGCAGACAAAAGGTATGACCATAATTTTTCATCCGCTGCGTTTACCTTTGATTTACAATAAGAGAGTTGAAAACTCACCTCAAGAGGGACAAAATGGGTTGCTAGTCCAATTGCAACCAATTCCTTACCATTCAGCCTCGCTCCTGTCAAGGCAAAAAATTCCCCTGCATGCATATCCACACTGTTATCAATGACTTCATCTTTATTAATAAGATGAATGAAGAATCTGATATGATGTATGTCAGTACCCAAGTGATAGGAGAATGTTTACCCAAATGCCCAGGATCTCTATCTTTTATTTATTTATTTATTTCATTATTGGGATAAGCTCAAAAGTTGTTTTCCTTTACAAGGGTTGGGATATAAGATCAAATTCATGTCTTACATGGGTCTTCTTGTAGGTATGAATGTGGTAGCAAAGCCAATACATTCTATAGACCACCTCAAGGCAGAATCCTCTGCAGAAGAAAGCCAACTTATAAGTGACCTTGTTGCAAAAGCAATTGGTATACTAAGGCTGTGTTTGGATCAAGGATATGGGTTAGACTTGGGTAAGGATTTGGAAATGAAATGAAAAAATTTATTAGCTTATATTTCATTCACATTCTCCTCACTTTTTTCTGTCCCTTTCCAAATCCCTACCCAAATTTATAATTCAAACACAATCTAAAATTACATTATGATGATGTACCTACTCAAGTTCCTACCATCATAGAACATTTTCAAATCACCACTAGCAGAAAAAGCACTGCCAGCTTCCTATAAAAGTACATAAGCAAGACTATAAAGTTTGAAACACCAAGCAAATCCATCAACCTAACTTCAATAAGATGAGGCAGTTACATTTACGTTTAATAATGCTATTTTATCAGAGTTGTATGGTATATATAATGTAAAAATAACAGTAATGGCGAAGAATTGAAGTATTGGTTCTAGCCTTGATTAGTACGAGCTCTGCATTTTGGTCATTTTCCCATTTTTCCTAGTATTCTACTAGTAATAGAAACCTTATTGCCAAAAACAAAAGCAGTCCTCAATCACAAAAATTATTTCAAAAACTTAAACCTTGCATTAAAAAACTTTATGCAGATAGGATTAGATGCTTCTGCTTACCACCTTTTGTTGGTGATACTTACAAATAAAACACCAAAAAATACACAAAATAAAAGTTACAACAATTAATATAAGGGCTGAGGTGCGGAAAATTCGCTCTCTTTAAGAAGATTCAAGCCCTTTGCGGTTAGGCAAAGCCTCACACCGGTGCAGCAGAAAAACCTTGGACTTGTCCCCCCAGATACAACAGCCCGACTAAGTCGTATGGTTCACCAATACTGCACAATTGGTTAAACCCAAAGCTTTATCACACACACCCTTTTTATTTGCCTGATAACTCACTCAAGAATAACAACACAACCAAAACTTCTTCACTTCTCGTGTTCACCCAAGATAGGACATAGTTCAAATTATATATAAGAATCTATCTTGGTGGCAAGTAAAGATGGACTTAGAATGGATAAGTCTTGGTGGACCAAGAAGACTTGAACTTGAAAGTCTTGGCGAAGACTTGATGATGACTAGATGGATAAGTTTTGGTGGACAAAGACCAAGACTTGCAAAGACTTGGAGATTGTCTTGGATAGGATAGGAATGAGGAGACTTGAAAACTTGGAGGGAAAGAAAAGCAAAAGCCAACGATAACACATTAACACATTATAATATCAAAAATACCTGGTAACATTTCCCTACCTATTTTGATATTATAAGGTAACAAGAAACTAAGATATTAGGCAAATAAGGATATTATGCATCATGGTAGGTTGTGCTCTGCATTGAAACCTCCATTTAGTGAAACAATTAATATCTACTTCCAGAGCCAATAGTATGCTCAGCATTGAACTATGACTACTGTAAGGCGAAATTAAATAATTATTGCACACAAATATTATTCCAGGTGTTCACAAAAGCTTTAAAAGCTAGCACATTACGGCCTTGTGCGATCCTAGGATTCATGAGTGTGTTTGAGAATTAGCCCAAATCTCATAGGTAGCGGCCCCACTACCACACTCACATAGGTGAATTCTGTCAAGGGTGCTCCTGTAACTATGACACCCTACTCAATAAGAGCTGCAGAAATTCATTAAGAGTTTTTTAATAATTCAACCTCTACAACGTTACAGGATAAATGCACTTACATCATAGGGATGGGTAAAAAGTAATTTAGTGCATTTCTCATGGCCATCATATGATCGTTTTTCTCATTGAACCCAGTTACAAGATCTCTGGTCCCTGGGTTGAGTATCCTCATACATGACTCATGCTATATTCAATGGGCTTCAACCCCATCCCCCTCGATGTATTCCAGACTCTATCTCTTGCTAAGGCCTTAGTTAATGGATCTGCAAGATTATCATCAGATTTAATATAATCCACATGTATGATGCCATTATACATATAAGATCTCACAATACTGTGTTTTCTTCTGATAGGTCTGGATTTACCGTTATAATAGCGGTTATTAACTCGACCAATTGCTGCGGTGCTATCACAATGAATCAATATAGGTGGAATCGGTTTTTCCCAACAAGAGATTTCATTTAACAAATCTCTCAACCAATTTGCTTCTTCACTAGCTGTAGCTAAAGCAATAAGCTCAGCCTCCATTGTTGAATTAGCAATAATGGTTTGTTTTTTCGATTTCCAACTTATAGCACCACCTCCCAATGTAAATAAGTAACCAGTGGTTGATAATGAATCACCTAACAAGGTATTCCAATCAGCATCACTGTAACCTTCAAGTACTGCAGGATACTTATTATAAAACAAGCCATATTTTATGGTACCAGATAAATATTTCATAATATGCTCAATGGCTAGCCAGTGATCATTGCCAGGCTTGCTAGTAAACTTGCTAAGTACTCCAACTACATAGGCAATGTCAGGTCTAGTATAGTCAGTCGCATAACTCAAGCTACCAATCATACTAGCATATTCCTTTTGATTAATTACATCCTCATCATTTTCAACAGGAAATAAACGCACATGAGGATCAAAAGGAGTAAGAACATGCTTGCAGTTATAAAAGTTATATTTTCTCAAAATTTTCTCAACATAATGCGACTGATCAAGAAATATACCATCACATGTTTTAGTAATTTTCATTTCCAAAATATAATTAGCCTCACCAAGATCTTTCATATCAAAATGGCCACTGAGCATATTTTTAGTTTCCATGATGATATGCAAATTAGAGCCAAATATAAGTAGATCATCCACACAGAGGCTAATAATGACATGTAAATTTTCTTCAGATTTATAGTAAATGCATTTATCACATTCATTCGTTTTATAGCCATTCTCAATCATGCAGGAATCAAATTTCTCATGCCACTGTTTAGGGGCCTGTTTTAAGCCATATAGGGATTTAACTAGCTTCCACACTTTGCTTTCTTGACCGGGTTCCACAAAACCCTCAGGTTGATCCATATAGATTTCTTCACCCAGGTCTCCATTTAAAAAAGCTGTTTTAACATCCATTTGATGAATTTTTAGATCATGAATTGCAGCCCCTGCAATTAATAATCTAATGGATGTAACTCTAGTAACCGGAGAAAATGTATCAAAAAAGTCAAGATCTGCTTGTTGTTTAAAACCTTTTGCAACAAGCCTTGCTTTATATTTATCAATAGTTCCATCCGGTTTAAGTTTTTTTTCTCAAAACCCATTTACAGCCAATAGTTTTACAACTTGGTGGTAAATCTACTAATACCCAAGTTTTATTGGATAATAATGATTCCATCTCATCATTTACAGCCTCATTCCAAAAAACAGAGTTAGGAGATGCCAAAGCTTCTTGTAAAGTTAATGGAGTTTCCTCCACATTAAAAACATGATAATCAAGGCCAAAATATTTTTCTAATCTGGCTCTTTTACTCCTTCTAGGTTCAAAAACTACAGTGTCTTGGTTTTGTAAAAGAGGAGTAGAGGAACCGGTTTCAGATAAAATATTTTCTTGATAATTTTGACCCCCACCATTTTTAGATTTAAAAGGAAATTTTTCTTCATGAAAAATTGCATCACCTGATTCAAAAATTATTTTGTTTTCAATATCAAAAAATCTATAGGTTGTACTATTTGTTGCATATCCAAGAAAAGCACAAGTGACAGCTTTCACACCTAATTTAGGTCTTTTAGGGTCTATAAGTCTAACAAAAGCTAGACAACCCCAAACCCTCAAATATCTCAAATTTGGCTTATACCCTTTCCACAACTCAAAAGGTGTAAGTTTTGTATTTTTATGTGGCACTCTATTCATGAGATAACATGCAGTTAAAATTGCTTCTCCCCACAAATTTGAAGGAGCACCTGCTTCAATCAGCATAGCATTTGTTAAATCAGTTAAAGTTCTATTTTTCCTTTCTGCTACACCATTAGATGCAGGTGAATATGGTGGAGTAGTTTCATAGATTATTTCCAAAGACTGAGCAAACGAGTTGAATCCAAAAGATTCATACTCCCGGCCTCTATCACTTCTATATCTTTTAATCTTTTTACCGAATTGATTTTCGACTTCAAGAAGGAATTCTTTCAATTTTTCAAAAGCATCACTTTTATTTTTCAACAAATATACATAAACCGGTGCAGCAGAAAAACCTTGACTTGTCCCCCCCAGGATACAACAGCCCGACTAAGTCGTATGGTTCACCAATACTGCACAATTGGTTAAACCCAAAGCTTTATCACACACACCCTTTTTATTTGCCTGATAATCTCACTCAAGACATAACAACACAACCAAAACTTCTTCACTTCTCGTGTTCACCCAAGATAGGACATAGTTCAAATTATATATAAGAATCTATCTTGGTGGCTAAGTAAAGATGGACTTAGAATGGATAAGTCTTGGTGGACCAAGAAGACTTAGACTTGAAAGTCTTGGCGAAGACTTGATGATGACTAGATGGATAAGTTTTGGTGGACAAAGACCAAGACTTGCAAAGACTTGGAGATTGTCTTGGATAGGATAGGAATGAGGAGACTTGAAAACTTGGAGGGAAAGAAAAGAAAAGCCAACAATAACATATTAACAAATTATAATATTAAAATACCTGCTAACATTTTTGATGAAATGACATTCAATTGACGAGGCCGGTTCAAGGTGATCATGCGCACAACAATACCCCTAATTTAGTGTATTTAGCAGTTGTTTTGCTTTTAGGTAACAAATGAAAGAAAACCCAACTAATCTAAAAACTATAAGGCTGTGTTTGGATATGGATTTGAGCAGCGATTTGGAAGGGGAAGGAAAAGGTGAGGGAAAGGACAAAGAATTTAGTTAATATTTCATTCACATTTCCCTCACTTTTTCCTTTTCATCCACAAATCCTCACGCAAATCATAGTGCAAACACAGCCTAAATAAATTGCAGAGGGATTACCTCTTCATGTGGATTTACCACTTCCAGTGACATTTTTGGGCTATCAATCAAATTGAGCCAACAACCCTGCACAAAAAGAATCAAATCGTGAAGAAACCCAACAAAGAAAATCCCATAAATTTGAAAGTAGAAATGAAATTTATGAATCAAAGATAAATCCCAATTCAGGAATCACGATTTTGGGATTCAAAAAGATTAAAGATTTCTAATGGGAAGCTCACTCTACTACAACTTCAAGATTTTGGGACTAAATTATGCAACTGAAAACATAATCAACAAAAATAAGAAATGGAAATTACTAGGACCTCAGTTGAAATAGGAGTAAGACTTAGAGACTAGTGAAATGGGCTTATGAAGAGAAGATGGAGGAGCAACTTTGGCTGGTCCGTAGCTACCCACTACTCTTGAAACAAATTTCTTAGAGAGAGAGAGAGAGCATCACCAACCAGTGTACCACCAACCACCTCCAACCTCCAAACACGAAATAGGGGGAGAGATTATAAATTGTTTTCCCCTGGTATTTTCATCTACCTACCTCCCCCAACTACGTGACTTGAGAAATTTGGCTATGTTTGGTAGAATTTTGGAACGTTAGTTTCAGACTTTGATTTGCACATGATATTTATTTGCGATTTTTAAAAATTAATTCCACACTCACTTTTGAAAACTCTGTTCAAAACGGGAAAATTTGAGTTAACTAGTTGTCCTATCGAAATATTGTCCAAAGCAGAAAAATTTGGACTAACCGGTCGTCCCACCGGATGTCCACTGGTTGTCTAGTCGATTAACCAAAACAGTGCATTTTTTTTTGTACAATTGACACGTGTTAATTTTTATATATTCAATAAAAAAATATTTTTGAATTTTTAAAATTTTTTTATGAGTTTTGAATAGAATTTTGAGTTGTATGTTTGATTATGAGTTGTAAGTTTTTATATCAAATATCATATTTCAGATCAAAAAATTTTCATTCAATTCAAAAAAAAATTTAAAACTCATTCACCAAATAAATTTTTCACACTCAAAAAAAATGTTTTTATTTTTTTTTTCAACTTTCTTTGTCTTTCCTGGTAATAGCCTGATTTGATTTTTTTTTTTTTTTTATACTTTCTGTGGGTTGACGCCGCCCCTCTTTCATGCGGGGTAGTATGGTAAATTAACTTCTCAAATTGTTGCAGCCATGCTCCCAACTTTCTTTTGTCCGTTTGTGGCTAAATTAGCCACTTTTGTCATTTTAGTGGCTAATTTAGCCCAAACCCAACTTCCCAAACGCAGCCTATGTTTGGTTCGAGTTTTAGAGATGAGTTTTAGAAAAAAAAAATTTAAAAATTATTTGGTTTGAGATTTTTCTTAAAAAATTTTCAAAATCACTTTCTCTCTCTTACACATCAATCAATCACTTTTTCTCTCACACACATCTACTCAATTACAACAAAATATCAAATCATCTCAAACTCCCACAAAATTTTTTTTTCTTAAAATATACAACCAAACAAACCAAAAAAATTTCTAAAATAACTCTCTTAAATTTTTTTCAAAAACAACTCTTCCAAAAACAAACCAAACAACTCCTATATTTCTTGTCAGCAAACGTGGCCGATGGCACATGTCTGCCAGCCTCCTTGATCACTCTCTGCTTTTCAATTCTTTTTCCTTTAATTTATTTTATCTGCTCCCCCAAACAAACCCATGTGCTCACACATCACCCTCACTCACATTTCCTTTCTTTTCCTTGTCATTTTGCGTCTATTCTTTTTCCTTTGTTTTCAATTTTTTTATTCCGTCTTTCTCTCCTATTTATTTCAGTCGAGTGTTTGCTTTGTTTGATTTGATTTTAGAATTATAATTTGAATGTAAAATTATATTTTGAGTTTAAAAAAAAAATTTATTTAGGTCAAGTTTGGCATACATAAAATAATTTATCTTTTTATTTTTTTCTCACATTACCTCTCTACTTTTCTGTACATCTTTTCATAAAAAGATAAAAAGTGTACTTACTTAGGTCATCATAAACAATTATGAATTTAAAAAAAAAAATTGAAAAGAGTTTTAAATTGTATTTTGAATTATATTTTAAATTTTTTTGATTTTATATATTTTTAAATATTTAAAAATGGAAGATTTATTATAAAATCTTTTTTTTCCAAGTGTTTGTATCCCAATTAGTCTATAAGACATTCTTATATTTTAATAAGTTCTATTATTTGAATATTTATCCACTAAATCTTAATTATCATATTTAAGGTATTTTATAGATACTTACACCATTTTAAATATTTTTTGAACAGTTAGCAATTTGATAATGTAAACATTTATATTTTACAATGTCAATATTCACATTGACAGTGTGAACATTCATATTCACGATGTGAATATTCACATTGGCGTGTTAACATTTACATTGATGGTGTGAATATTCACATTGACGATGTAAATATTCACACTGTAAATACGAATATTATTATTATGGATATTTTGGTAACTATATCACCCATAGAATTTATTGGGACAAAAGAAAATAATGTAGACTAAATGGAACATAAGGGTGTGTTTGATTGGACGGACTGGATAAAGGGGGATTAGAATTTATCGGACTTGAGTCCTGGGACTGTGAATCCCCCGGACTACTTGATTGGATTTGATATGTATCCTGTGTTTGTTTTTTCATGAGATTAGATGTCTGAAAATGACTATTTTTAGTGAATCCAACGTTTAGTTGGACGAACTGGATAAAATAAATGAACAAAAGACTATTTTATCATTTTTCAATTGTTTACTAAGTAATAGCAATATTAAACATCTCTTTAATATTTTAATTATTTTTAGCTAGATTAAATAAAAATTTATTTTATTTTATTTTTTACACAATTAAATAAATTTATTTTTTAAAAAAAAAATAAATAAATAAAATATCAATAAAAATATATATTATTTTTTAAATTACTGACAACCCTGACCAAGAATGTATCCTTGCCACAATTTTGCATGTACAAACACATATATCAACACACATGCATTTGAAAAAGAGATGGCATGTAAACATACATTACATGCATAGATGAGAAATTATGTAATGGATTGAGAGTGATCAATAATTATATTCATAATGTTAATGGATTTACTTGGCTAAGTATTCCATATCAATAATTATATTCATAATGTTAATGGATTTACTTGGCTAAGTATTCCATATCAATAATTATATTCATAATGTTAATGGATTTACTTGGCTAAGTATTCCATATCAATAATTATATTCATAATGTTAATGGATTTACTTGGCTAAGTATTCCATATCAATAATTATATTCATAATGTTAATGGATGTTCTTTTTGGGTATTGTCATACTTTTCAGCCTTCTATGATTCAAATCAGCAAGGTGTAGATGCAAATTCTTCTGCTGGTGGTGTGGTTCTATCATATCAATTGCAATCCAACTCAGATGTTTCTTTGGTTGCTGGTAATTTGTCAATTGCTTCAGATTATGGTAATGATTCAGCTTGCGAAATATCTGAGAACACCAAGGCATGGAACAGATAACTACTCCGAACTTGGCGTGGAAAATAAAACATCTGACCAAGAAAAGTTTTCTTGGCATCCAAAGCATTCAGAATATGAAAACAGTATTATGGACAAGGATGAAATGGAGCCTTTCTCTAAAACAGAGAATCGGAAACTAGGTAGCCATCTTCGGAGATTGTCGACAGATAGTGTTGGAAGTGATGTAAGTTCTGTAAGAGCTAGTGAAAATTCAAATTTGGGGGTGGCAAGTTCACTTGGTGACAACTCCCTTAACCTTCCTGAAGGTGCTGAAATTTCAAGAACCATGGACACTCTTGCCAATTCTGATTTACAATTTGCTAGGGACTTATTAGTTGCTCTTCCATCAGAAGAACGCAATAAAATGAACAGGGTTCTTACAACCATGCAGCGAAGACTAACTACAGCAAAAACAGACATGGAAGATCTTATAGCAAGATTAAATCAAGAGCTTGCTGTAAGACAGTACCTTACAACAAAGGTATTTCCTAAAACTAGTCTATGTTTCATGACGAGTGCACATGTTCAATATTGAAACTGTCTTTGTTTTTCAGTTATTTAATCCTCTATAGTTCATATGAATCAGAATGGATTCTTAACCAGTGGCAACAAAGGGAAAAGTGCCAAAGTATAAAGTCTGCTTAAATTAGCTTCTAAAAGCTATTAAACTAAAAATGTTAATGTATCTATAAAGTAGCCATACAAACAAATGCAAAGACACTGGTTCTCAGGTTAAAGTCGTAAATTGTCATTGTCTTGGTTTAGCTATGTCAAACGCTTTTCATGCTTGTCGGGGGCATCTAGATGATTTATTCACTGAACGAACAGACTTTGAGGAGTTGACCTTCAGCATTTTAATTTTTTTCAACCTGATTTTACAAGCAATGGCATTGTTTGTCATGGCTTTCACTTCTAGGAAGGGCATCTTGAAGAAGTACATCATAACAAGACCTTTCCAGTGCCTCATTTAAATGAAATCATGCTTGTCAAAAAAAAAAAGAAAAAAGAGAGAGCTTCCTGGAAAGACCTTTCAAAACGTGATGAATGTTTGGTGAATGATTCTTCAGACACTTGTGAATTAATTTTAGATTTAAGCATTGCTTGATACGCTTGTATTCAGACACTGGCTGAGTTCTTCTTGACAAAAGTACAATTCTTTTTCTACAGCTATATAAATGATATTGTTGGCTTCTACAGAAGCCACTTGTGCATGATGATAAGATTATCATACTGGAGTACCAACTTATTAGCATTGTCTCTTGCAGGTCAAAGACTTGGAAGTTGACCTTGAAACTACTAAGCATAGTAGTAAAGAAAACCTGCAACAAGCTATTCTAATTGAAAGGGAAAGATCTACTCAAACGCAATGGGATGTGGAGGAATTGCGGAGAAAGTGTATAGAGACTGAGTTGAAGTTGAAGTCTGAACAGGTATATATATTTGTGGTTGTCATGTCAACATTTGTTAAATCTCCATGTGCGACATTGAATGACATGTATGTACATTTCAGGATGAAAAGTTGAATGTGGAGTCAGCAAAGGCATCCATCATTCAGGAGAATAAAAAGTTGCAGCAAGAGTTGGATAATGCCAGGGAGCAGATTGAGAACTTGCAAAAACATAACGAAGACCTAGAGTTGAAATCAAAAGCAGATGTTAAACTACTTGTGAAAGAGGTGAAATCTCTTCGAAGTTCTCAGTCAGAATTGAAGCAGGAGCTTAGCAGATTGATGAAAGAAAAATTAGAAGTCGAGGTAGCTTTTTACTTAGCCAAGGCTTGCTTATTTTCACTCTTTATTGTTTTTTAATGATGACAGTTCTTTCTTGGAAAATTAGCTGATCCATTAGGAAGTTGAAAATGAGGAAATTTTCTGATCTTGACCCAATCTTTGATTTTTATTTCACTTTTCATTATATTTTCAGATCTCAGAGCTCTCAATTTCTTCTTTTGTAAGAATTTATGTATTATTGATTGATGTTACAAGATTGTTGTATTACAAGATTGATTAAATTACAATTCCTATACAATCTATATATAGAAGAAAATGTGGTAGTAGGTGTAGTGGAGGTGATAGTGGGTTAAGTGAAGTGGAGTGTGTGGTGAAGTGGAGGTAGGTGAAGTGGAGTGTGTAGTGGAGTAGGTGAAGGTAAAGATGGGAAATTCTAACATCTTTGTATATACTTTATCTAGAAGAAAAGATTTATGATTTTTCCTCGTTTAATTGTTTGTTTATATCTGTGTATTTGTTTCTTGAAGAGCTAGCTTAATCTTTTTCACTTAATAGATTCTGCTGTAAATGCATGTTTATTTCAGAGGGTTCTACACAAGGAGAAGAAAAGATGGGAACATTCAAATGCCGCTAATGCAAAATTGCTGCATGAATGTGAAATCCTTCGCTGTCGGCTTGAAGAATGCAGTGTTAATTTCCTGATTGAGGAAGAAGATAAATTGATTGTGGATTCTTCCTCAACATCTGATGCTATAGATCTGTTGACGACCTCTGATAATCGGATTGGTCTTCTTGTTGCTGAGGTATCTTTCATTCCTGATTTATTTATTTTTTTCCTTCTAAATTTCTCAATTATAATCATTTCTCAGATTTCCAATTTTGTCTGTGGTGTTGAATTTTTTATTTATTTTTTTTTTTTTTTAACAAAAACATCATAATATTACAAGATAAGGGAGGGGGACTTGAATCACCAACCTCTATTAGGAGAGGTGTTATATGGTTTATTTAAAATGAGAAACTTGTGCTTTTGTGCTCCTCTATGTCCCTATTGTCCATCATAAGAGTTCTACAATTTTTCCATGAATTACTTTCTTCTTATTGGTGTTACAAGTACATGATAAAATGCAGTATCACTTGTTTTTTTGATGTATTCTTTTGGAATTCGATTGGTCGGTTGTTGGGTTTGGAGGGGACACATTCAAATTCCAAAGGTTCTCTCTTGATATATATATATATATATATATATGCACCCCAATAGCTCTGACTACTGATATAGGTGTTAAACATATTTAGTTAAATTAATATTTTTCCTGTTAACATCAAACAGGCACAGCTACTTGCACAAGACGTTGAAAATGCTGTTGCAGCTGCGACTCACAATAGCAATGGCGGAAACACGAGTGCGACAGATGATGAATTAAGGAAGATGCTGACAGATGTTTTCATTGACAATGCCAGTTTGAGGAAACAGGTGAATTCTGTTATGCGCTGCGCTCTGAATACACCTGACAAATCTGAGAAAGAGAGGCATAGCCTTTTCAAAATTATATATTAGATGTAGTTTTATTTGTTGATCCTGCCAATGTGGGGTGTTGGAGCCTGGGGTACACTATGTGCTGACTGCTCTTTCTGCAGTATTTGCACAAAAAAGTTCTGACATGATCCTCCATTCTCATAATTGGCAGCCGCAAGGGGCGAAGCAAAGGTAAGAAAATGAGGAAGCTGTGTTAATTTTCTTATAGGAAACCCAAGGATGATTTGATGATTTTATTTTTTTTATTTTTTAATGTTTTTTCTGAAGGATCATCCATGAGTACATGTGAGTGATCAGATAATCAGAGGTAAATAGTTCGAGCATGTTTGGAGTAAATCGTTATTAACAGGGAAAAAGAAAAGGGTAAATAGTTCGAGCATGTTTGGAGCATGTTTGGAGCATGTTTTTTCTCAACACACCATTGAGAATGGCATACCTATCGATAAAGGAAAATTATTAAAGTCATTCTAGAGTAATTTATGGAATTACTTATTTAGTAATGTTGACAAATGAGAAACCACATAACACTCTAAATGAGTTACATATGGAGAAAAGAGGGTATTAATGTTGTGGTATCATCTTGTGTTATCTATCTTTGCTAATATGTTTATCATCTTGTGTGTTAAAGCTATTTTGTGTTTCTTTGTGTTGTCTTTAGGAACAACAAAAAGGAAGGAATTGCATGGGACAACCTGTGTCCATGCACTCTCTGGAACATGGGGATTAAAACCATCAAACATGTAATGTTTATTTAGTCAATATATTGAAGTAGCATAAATTGTTTGTTCACCGGGCTCTCTGCATTCCTTTGTGTTGACTGGGATTTGGGAATGTATCCTGCTCAAAATTGTCTTTGTTGTACATGAACCTATTATGATTAATTGAATACGAATCCCTATTCTGCAGTGTAATGATGTGTAATATGCTTGACTATTCCATTGCATCTGCATGTGCAAGCAAATGACTTAACCTATTTTTTCTTTTTATTTTTTGATTGTGTTTGTTGTTTGATTTTGGTTCAGACACAATCATGTAATGTTTATTTAGTCAATATATTGAAGTAGCTGTAAAATTTTATTCATATTATTGTTATTTTTCAGCTTTATTACAGGTATGTTTTTTAGTTAAATATAACAGATTCAGAACAATTTTTTTTTTAAAAAAAAGAGCTATAACGGCGTTTTTTCAAAACGCCACTACAGTGCCAACGGACATTTTTTTAAAATAAAAAAATCTATCACGGCGTTTTAAAAACGTCGCTAAATATTGGATGACGTCATTTTATCATTATTTATCGCATTTAGCGGCGTTTTTAAAAACGCCGCCTATACTAATTTTACGACGTTTTTAAAGCGTCATAAACTTATAGCGACGGCCGCGTCCTCGACGTTTGGTGATAAGCGTCACTAAAGGAATTAGCGGCGTTTTTCATACATATAGCGGCGTTTTTAAAACGCCGCTAAAAGTCATTTTTCCAGCAGTGTTCCCGCCAAAACATTAAGGCCTTGTTTGGTTTTTGTTTCCCAAAAAATTTTGGGAAAAATTCTCTATAAATAAGTTTCAAAAGTAATCAAACCAAACAAATTTTTTCAAAAAAATTTCCCAAAACTTGTTTGGTTTATAAGTTTTCCAAACAAATCTCTCTCTATACACATCAAATCAATCACTTTTTCCAAAACTCTCTCTCAAAATAATTTTTCAAAACATCTTTTAAAAGAAACCAAACCAAACAACTTTTCATACTTTTTATCTCTAAAACTCATCTCCCAAACTCAAACCAAACGTACCCTGAGCCTCCTCCTTACCCACGTCTCCCCCACTCTTCTCTGCTCTCCAGCCAAATCATGTCTCTTCTCCATCCCTCTATCATCCCACCTCTTGCTTATCCACGTCTCCCCCACCCTTCTATTTTTATCTCTCTGATCTCCAGCCAAATCACGTCTCCCCTCCATCCCTCTTTATCTCTCTCTCTCTCTCTCTCTCTCTCTCTCTCTGTGTGTGTTCTTTTTCTTCCCGAAACTGCTCTCCTTCAACCACAGATTCGGTTTCGTCTCCATCAGTTTGGGCACAGGAAGGGGGACATCCTAAAGCACGCACAGGAAGGGGGACATCCTAAAGCTCAGGTATGTGTATATTTACCCACGTCTCCCCTCCATCCCTCTTTATCTGTCTCTCTCGCTCCCTGTTCTTCTTCCCCACCCTTCTCTGCTCTCCAGCCAAATCACGTCTCTCCTCCATCCCTCTATTTACCCACGTCTCCCCTCCATCCCTCTTTATCTCTCTCTCTCTCGCTCCCTGTTCTTCTTCTTCCTGAAACTGCTTTACTTCACTTTACTTTGAATTGATCTCCTTCAACCACAGATTCGGTTCCGTCTACCTCTGCTTCAACCACTTAGGTATGGCAATCTCTATCACAACTGTTCTTCTCACCCTTTAGAATCAGAAATTCCAATTTAAAACTCAACAATTTCTAAACATATTTTTCTGAACAACGACTTGCGATCTTCAATTCCAAATCTTCATTCACTTCTCTCTGAAATCTTCTCCCTTTTGATTAATTTGAAAAAAAATTAACAACCTCGATCCTCAATTACTCAACAATTTCTAAACATATTTTTCTGAACAACGACTTGCGATCTTCAATTCCAAATCTTCATTCACTTCTCTCTGAAATCTTCTCCCTTTTGATTAATTTGAAAAAAAAAAATTAACAACCTCAATCCTCAATTACTCAACAATTTCTAAATATATTTTTCTGAACAACGACTTGCGATCTTCAATTCCAAATCTTCATTCACTTCTCTCTAAAATCTTCTCCCTTTCGATTAATTTGAAAAAAAAATTAACAACCTCGATCCTCAATTACTCAACAATTTCTAAATATATTTTTCTGAACAACGACTTGCGATCTTCAATTCCAAATCTTCATTCACTTCTCTCTAAAATCTTCTCCCTTTCGATTAATTTGAAAAAAAAATTAACAACCTCGATCCACAATTCCACTTCATGATCTGCATATCATGATTGTCCCGATACTCTTTATTACGTAATGTTCAAAATCTGTACTGCGTTATGCTATGTTTGGTCGCTGAGAAATCCTGGCAAATCAAAAGAATTCCTGTAATCTCAGGATTTCCACTAAACTTTTTTATTTTATGTAATTTTATTTATTTGTCTTTACTGCGTAATTTTGTGTTGGGGGTTACTGTGGAATTGATTTTGTTGAATTCTCTTTTTCCTGGATTATAACTGTTGTTAATCTTCTGAATTGAAAGGTAAATTGTTTTTATTTATCTTTTGTTCTTGATCATTAATGGGTTTTGAGTTGAAAGAATATAAGAAGGGCAAATTTTTGGTGATTTGGGTATTGTGTAGAGAGGTAATGCTTGAGAAACAACTCACTCGACATCGGGTTGATCGGTCTATATGTGCTTGGTTTTGGGAACAAGCAATTTCACAAGGTGATTCCTTCAAGGTACCCACCTTTAATAACTGTAGCAGCAATACTCAAATTGGTATGGCAATCTCTATCACAATTGTTCTTCTCATCCTTTAGAATCAGAAATTCCAATTTAAAACTAATATTTAAATATGGATTTAGAACTCAACAATTTCTAAACATATTTTTCTGAACAACGACTTGCGATCTTCAATTCCAAATCTTCATTCACTTCTCTCTGAAATCTTCTCCCTTTCGATTAATTAACATTAAGCCTCCTCCTTACCCACGTCTCCCCCACCCTTCTCTGCTCTCCAGCCAAATCACGTCTCTCCTCCATCCCTCTATTTACCCACGTCTCTCCTCCATCCCTCTTTATCTCTCTCTCT